ATAAGACCTCTGTGAGAATATGTTTTTGCACTTGTAACCCTATTATAACTTTTACGATAACCAGCGATTTGATGCAACTCACCCTTAATATATTTAGTTGTTAGTTATTTTCTGCAAATGGTGCCGGAGGCCTATTTTTAGTCCCTTTCCCTTTCCTTAAGAGGAAGAGATGGAAAGGAAAAGTGGATTTCACGGTGGACAGGAAGGGGAAATATCCTCTTTATGTGCGCCTCCTCCTCCGTCAATTCAGAGTAGGTAACACATCTGCAATTTCGAATGTCTATGGCAGCAATCGCTTCACCATTTCGGCGGTTTTAGGTGGCCGCTTGCTCGTTTGCCGCCTTATAATATAAAAAAAGGAGTGTTTGTAATTTTTAATTGCATTTGAAATAAGTTTTGTTACCAGATATATGAGATGAGATCTTAAATTATTTTTTACATACCGTAGAAATATCTGCAGTTGCAACGCTAATTACGGCAGCTACGATCAACGTGTTCATTTCGCCTATATTTTGAATCTAACTATCGAAATGTAGAGACTAATCTTGAGGTATAACGCGTTAATAATCATGACAAAATATTAATCACTTTACGTTAATTGACTGCAATTATCAACGTCTCACGTCGTTTTTGTTACATTAAATTGAAACCATTAAATTTTATAATGAAATTTCTAGATCTTTCACCATGAAAATGACCAACATTTAAATAAAAACTAACTAAATCTACCTGAATTCGACTGACTGGCATATAAAAGAAGAGTGAATGAAATCCAAGGGAATAAATATGACAAGCATATATTTCCATGAAAAATATCAAAGAACCAAGGTAATGTTATTAAATCTGCATTCCTCCTAAATCTTTTAGTGAATGATTTTACCTTGTTTTTTTTGTTTATATAAAAGTAACAAATCGAACATTGAGGCTTTCAGTGACAGATAAAGGATATATTCAGATAAAGGATATCGTAAGATAATAAATAAAAGTCGTGTTTCACTAATTTATTTCAATCACATTACATTATTGTGACAATTTCATAAACTGAAAAAAGCAAACAAAACCAATAACGAATATTGCACAAATAAAATTAACTTAACTAAATCAATTGCTAACTTTTATCAACATCAATTCTAGTTGGACTACTTTTACTCTCAGTAATGTCTTCTTTTACTTGTGATACAATTTCTGGTTGTTGGGGAACATTTGCTGTTATATCTTCTACAGTTTTTGTATCCACTGTTTCTTGAGGATTATCTTCCCCATATTCTGTCGTATATTCTTGAACAAATTGTTGATCTTCATAATGTTCTTGTTGACTTTCGACTGGATAATTTTCATACTGGTTATCATATTGTTCATTTGTTTCGTATTGCTGTGGATATTGTTCATAATTTTCGTACTGAGGTTCTACATACGTTTGTTCTAAATGCTGTTCTTGGTTTTGATTTTGTAGATAATCTTCATATTCCGTATTATCTGTGGTTTGTTCATAATTTTGATCGTATTGCTCGTAATTTTCTTCTGTGTAATTTTGATTTTCCGATTGTTCAGGTTCAATAGGTTGATCATTTACATTTGTGTTGTCTATTTCTTCTTTTGTTGTGTGTGTGATATTTTGGTTTATTTGTAGATCAGTGTTAATTTCTTCCTGTATGTTTTGTTGTGTGTTTTGTTCATCGTCGTTAATATGATTGCTGTCTTCGTTTACTCTTGTTGTTTGGTTGTTATCACTGACAAGTCTGTCCGATTGCTGAGACGGCTGATGTTTGAGCGCGGCGTGTCCGGTGGAGTCATCTCCGGTATTGTCTCGTCGGGTATCGGTTGTGGGATGTGGTGCAGGCCTGTTGGTTGTGGTAGTGTGCGGGGAAGGTGCTGGAAGAATTAATTATTACATTGTAATTTTATAAACCAGTTACACTGATCTATTTAATAGGAAATTAATTTAACACAAAACAGGCGTTTAATAGGAGTGTTGATTGTAAAAGCAGATCACAAGAAGTTAGTCCGAATAAGGAAGCTTTATCTCATTACCTGCTCATCTTATATTTCTCTTATGTTTCCGTCATTTTCCCTTGAATTTTGGCATCTTGGAATTTATAGAGTCTAGTACCTTCACTGAATAGAGGTTAAAACATACCTTTGTTATTGCTAGGTGCATGCGTGACGTCCGTTCGCAGCGAGCGACCGAGCATCTCTACTTGACGCTGCAGAGTTGCCAGTTCTTGCCTGCACACACACACATGTGACAAAACACACAAACACGTGCGACACAGAACAAACATGCATCAAATATTTTACATAGATTCCTTTGATAGTCTCCTAGAATTTCTTAAAAATTATATAACAAACAATATGATTTTCACACTTGGTAGGGAATATTTTTTTTTATTTACAATTTATTGTGGTATTGGTAAGGATTAGGCATGATTTGTATTTAAGTAGTCGCAACAGAAATTAAAAACAATAATAATATAGGTTTAAATATATTCTATACACACTAATTCATGCACGATAAATAAATAAAAACTCTCCTAGCACTAACATCTACAATACATGCAAACGCTCTAAAAATCCTCAACTACCAAAGAAAGCTGTTTTATTACCTTTAGTTGATCATCATCAGAATCAACAATTTTATCAATAGATAGATTGTTGAAATTACTTGTCAAATTACCAATATCAGGTGAACTTAGTTCGCTATCATCGAATCTTCTAAATCTATATCTATATGTGTTAGGTGTCGAGGTATAATAAGTGCGATCTAATTCATAAGATGATCTGCTATTTGGATATCCACTTAACGGTGTATAACTTCTATAAGGTGGCAATGTGGTGCAATATTTCTTATGAGAAGACCAAAGATTTCGTAGTTTTCTCATAAGTTCCGCATTCCTGCAAAGCAATTGTGTTTTCTCTCCTCTGAAAGGCAATTCACGTGGTTACTGTCTATCCAGTGATGTTTTAAAATCAATATTAAGCGATTTTTATTTTTTTATTGCACACTTTATAAGCAATTGTTATCATTGCCTCCAGTCGTTTTACAAAATGTTTTCAAAAAAAGTAATTACATGTCTAATTCTTTTCTTTTTTAACATAATAGCAAAAATAGTTAATAAGTACTTGATAATTTGCATTAACATTTTTCACAGGCACTCAAATTAACAACCATAAAATATCAAAAAATTAAATCAACAATACAAATTACTCAAGTTAACTTCATATTTTTACAACCAAATAAATTAATTTGAACTACACTATAATACTAGAATTGCACAATTAATAATAACAAAACGAACATAATTTATTGTTAGGAAATTTCTAAACACTCGTGAATTTTGCAAGACAATACATAGTTTTTCCTTTTTTTAGATCTTTCAAAAGCAATGTACGAATAGCTAATCGTATACAAAAGAATATATAACATTTCGTGATTGTTTTAAAGCAACAAGCTTATTCTAATCATCATTTTTATCTATTATTTCATCTTCAGATTGTTCGTTTATTCCTGTTTCTATATTTAATTCCATATTATTAGTATTTGTAATTTCTGATGATTCAACTTTACTGTCTAACGTTTCGTCTTCTTGTGTTTTAGCTAAATCACTTTTAGATACATCTAGTTCTTCACTAATTTTATCATTATTTGTATCTGGAATGTCTATAATGTTAGGGTTTTTGGGATCTTTAACATTTTCTTCTACTGTGTCTACTGTTTCATGAAGCACGTGAATGTCGCCATTTGTAACTACCATACTAATATTGCTTTTCACAGGTTTACTAGGTGATGTAACCTCTGCATGCAATTCACGTCGTTTCCTATCTCTTTTCCTAGGCTTAGGTATTAGTTTTACACTGATATCAACTTTGATTGGCTCCTTTTTCTCACGTAAAAAGGGCTGTTGAATCATTAACGGTAAATTGTATATTTTCTCGCCGTGGTAATTAGAGAGATCCTGATTTGTCGTTAACGGCCCAACTATTATTGGTTGGTTCGACGAATCGGACTCTTTTCCTGAGCGGTGCTTGCGACGGTTCTCCATTTCTGATTTTCTGTCGGGTTGTGTTCTGATTGGTTCGTCTACACGGCCGCGACTCTGCGCTCTGCCTGCCGCCAATAAAAACACAACACGACGTTAGGATAGGAACATCAGGGGCAATGATAACAATCAGCTATTTGTTGACAATTTAAATAGTGCTAGATTAAATGGTAAATAGACCGACAAATCTTATCTGATCCGGTGAGCAAAACTAACAATTTCAATGGCTTATTAGTGCCTGCGACCAATTAATGTCTTCTTCTACTCTTATATTGTAATTTTTGTTGCCTAAGGTTTTATATTTCTGACAAAACTAACCGCGATAGTAGCGCCCCTCACCGGGCAAGATATATTTGTCGTAGTATAAGAGATTGTAACTAATTTGCGCATGCTTAAATTTGAAAAAATGTCTCGTACTTGTGCCTACGATTTGCGTCGTCTAGCTTGTCTGTAAGTAAACGACATTCGCCGGTGAGTTTCTCCATCAGACTGTTTTGTGATTGTATCATGGTCTCCAACTCAGCCACGGTTTTAGCTGTGGACATTTACTTCCTATAAACTTCGGAATCCGATAATAACTAACTTACTTGTATTTGTATAAGTGCGTGTTAACTAAACAATCTGATGAATAAACTATTGATTTGTAGAAATATCAATAAGCCCTTTCTATTGTTCGACATGCAAGCGCAAAGCGCAAATGAAAGGGTAAAGTATAAATGTTTTGAAGTCTTCATTTGATAGTATTTTCTCAAAACATCAACAGTTTACCCATATTATGAACCTGATTTACGATTAACAATTTCAAAATAATATATTCCAAATTTAATTTCTAAGTTCTCCTTTAAAAACTATAAGATACTTACCATGCTTATTTTCCATGGACTCCAGCATTGTAGATAGTTCCTTCTCTTTCTTATTCTTCTCTGGAGATATCGGAGTTAGATTTTTCATATTTAACTGTAAAAATGTCAAATAAGTTTTAAGCCACTTCACTTAATTTTGCATTTTCGTACTACTTTAAAAAATTCTGAAGTGAATTAGTTAACAAAGGATATTGTTTTTTCCTTAACTATTTACCTCCTTTTCCAGTGTAGAGATCTGTTCAGAAAGACGTAAGTTCTCGCGGCGAGAGTGTACGAGGTCCGCATCAGCCCGGTCTAGACGCTGGCGGAGTGACTGGATCTGGTTGAAGAGGAAACTCGATTGGTTAGTTTGATTCGTATATTTTAATTGGAAGATTGCTTAAAATCTTCATCTTTACTATTGTTATAACGAGGAAAGATTTGTATGTATTTTTGGATTTATGTATGTATTGAAATAACTCAAAAACTACTGGGCCGATTTTAAAAATTCTTTCACGACAACAAAGATACGGTATCAGTGAGTAACATAGGCTATAATTTTTAATTTCACGCGGACAAACTAGCGAGCAACAGTTAGTTATATAAGCTATGTATGATAATGTCACTTTCTTTTAATAAATCGAAGCCCAAAAAAATGGACGAGTCTTCCTTATTATAGTTACTCATTTTTTTATTCGTTTTGATTCTTTTTGTATCTAAAATATATTTTTTCTGTAGTATTATTATATTACTGGAACCTTAGTCAGTTATTGTCTAAATACTTTCCGTATAGCAACTATTTACCTCAGAATTAAGTCGATTGGTGTCGTGCTTCGCCTGTCTCTGCTGACGCTCTATAGCCAGACGGGCGTTGGCTAATTCTTCTTCCAGCGATGCTTTCTCTGCATTAGCCTGAGCTAAATCTGCTTGAAGTGTTGCTGCAAGTACAAAGATCTTCGTTGATGCAATTACTATACATATAACTAATATCTAATATCTAAATTTTAAAGAAGGATTTTAGCTGGCCTTAATCCAATGAGTCTATTCACCTGTCTTGTTCTTAAGTTCCATTTTGAGTTCTTCTATGTTAGCGTTCTTCATTGATAGCTCTCGTTTTAGATCACTTTCCTCACGACGCTGACGATCCAAATCCAGCTGTGAAAAATATTTTACCAAAAGACATTAAAAGAGCTTTAGTTTCAATTTTCATTTAATTAGTTGTTTGTAAAGGTAACAGGTCAGCATGATCATCCGTCAAAAGACTAAACTGCCACAAAGATCCCTTAATGATGATTTGCTCTTTTGTTGTTAATTTTTTATGCCTTCTAAATACCTGTAACTTGGCGACATTATCATACTGCGCTGCTAGGTCGTGCTGCAGTTCATCAAAGTGCGCATTGTAGCGCTGTTCCGCTGAATTGCGCTCCTGTATCGCCCTTCTCGCTCCTTCGCCTGCCAGCTCCCGTATCTTGCTTCTCTCTTTAGCTAAATCATCCTGTTAAAGCACATTGTAGCTACATTTAAAGATTGATTACTGGACAATTAATGGATATTTGACTACAAGACTTTTAACAGTCATGAATCATCTAAATCTGGCATATCTCTACTAATTCATGGTTCAACTAGGTTACAAAATCGTAGGTCTCTTACAACGGTTGCTACAGTTTATCTAGTTCATACTTTTCTCTCTTTTGGATGCTAAGTTACTAAGTTACCCGAAATAGATTGCGAGTACCAAGACATGATGTACTAGGTCCTCATGAGTCGGATAAGATAACGAGTTACCTTCAACCGCCGCACTTCAGCCTCCAAGTTGTTCCTCTCCTCCCTGAGCTGGTTTTCCACCACGTCAGACCGCTTGTAACGACCTTCACCGTCACTGTCTTTCTGATCCAAGCTGGTCTTTAACTTCGAGATCTGACCCTCCAAAGTTGATTTATCTCTAAGATGAACAAAATATTTTCTACATTGGTAAACGAATTCTTAAATGCGGAAAAAATGAAGTCAAAATTAAAATTTTCAATATTGCAATTATTGCAATTAGGTTTGGTTGACAGCATGTTATTTTTTTATTTCTTACTAATATAATTGTTAGGTCTATTATTTTGTCGTAATACCTTTGCAAATTATCAATCTGCCTCTTGAATCCGTCGAGGCAGGTAGAATCGACGAGACCAGAGGCCAGCTTTCGTTTGTTCTCGTTGTTTTCATCCTAAAAAAGGTAAAAAAGACAGTTCAATTAACAGTTATATTGAAGACTAACTTTCGCCTGAGACTTCTTCCGCGTGGAATTAAAAAAAAATTAATAGCCTATGTGTTCTTCCAGGCTAAACTCTACATCTATGCCAAATTTCATCGAGATCCGTTCAGCCGTTTAGGTTACAAACATCTATTTAAACTTTCGCATATAATCATCATCATCATCTCCTTATCCTATATATAATAATAATAATAATAATCCTTTTTTTGGCTCACGAGATTACCGCCATGTGGCATATGAAATCGACTACCATTATTCCGATAGTCGTTTCGGCACACGGGCTGATAGCGAAGAGCTTCGACCAACACCTCAAGAAGCTCTCGCTAGACAGTTGGATTAAGGGCCCGATTCAAAAGGCGGTTATTTTAGAAACCGCACGACTAGTGAGGAGGTTCCTGTCTCTGCCCTGACCACTGGTTGCTTGAGTCATCGGATTCCGCAGCCGGTGGACTTCTATTTTTTTTTTATATAATATGTTATATTTTGTTATTTTTTTAAGAAAATCATGTGAAATGTATTATATATAAAAATAAGAGAATAAAGATATGTGATGTTAAATAATAATAATCCTTTATAATGTTAGTATGACAAGTTTACTTTTACCTGAACTTTTTTCAGATCGATCTTAGCTTGCGTGAGTTGGGCTTCTAATTCGGCGATACGAGACTCAAACACAATGTTCGGTCCTTCCAACTTCGTGGTGCGAGGCTTGGCACGACGGGACTTGGATGGAGATGCCTACAAAAAGAAAGAAGAATGAATAGGGTATATAGGTATTGGTCATAATTATATCTTTAATTCTAATTTTTTTTTTTAATTTTAATAAGATTGAAAGCTATATTTAGCAGCGAATTGTTGCTTAAGAAAAAACGTATTGTCCTACGTTACAATTAAGTAACGCAAAGGCTTACTATTATTGGCTTAAAAAGTCAATGACAATAAATTAAAAAAAATACAACCTTATTATCACTGTCCAGGCCAGTACTGTCACCGACGTCGTCCAGTTCGTCCGTCTCAGAATCGTAGTGAAACATACGCGAGATGATCTTATTCTTCTGGGCCTCGTGCAAGTGCTCGTTCTCTGATATCACCTCCTTCACCTTACCTAAAAGGTTGTTAAGTTCATCCTGCAAGAGATTGTTAGATTATATTAATTATTTGTTACTTATGTAAACTTATATTACCTTCGGCAGGACGATATTGATAAATTCATAGCCCGTAAGCTAACTAGTACATAAGTAACTACAGCTTTTTTAATTAAACCCTCCTAAACGACTCAATAACCATTAAAAGCGCGCTCAGCTTTGACGAAACTATCTCACAACTGTTTAGTCACGCTATGTTTCTTATAATCTTATATGTAGGTTCGCACACTACTCGATTTTTAGTTGTGCAGCTAAACAGTTAACAGCGAAACATTCGACAATCGCACAATTGTTGTGCGATAGTTTAGCCGAAGGTGTGAGCGCACTCTATGGAACTAGTGTACAACTCACCCTGCAGTACTGAGACTCACGTTCCAGTTGTTCAATGTACTCCTCTTGCTTCTGTATGAAGTTGACGACATCAGGGTTGGTGCCGGCTGCTTCGGCGGCGGGCGCTTGCGGTGCTGGTTGCGGAGCTACAGATATCAGGCGCTTTTATTTTTGACCGACTTCCCAAAATAAGGAGGTACTGTTGAGTACCTCCTTTTTTTACGAATTGTCGTCTGTATGTTTTTTATTTTTATTTTTTTGTGTGTTACGGCATAACTCCGCCGCTAGTGGACTGATTTTGAAAAATCTTTTTTTATCCAAAAGGTAGTGCTTGCAGGTGTGTCCCATTTTATAGACACTAGACTTTACAGTCGCATCCTGATAGTTTAAATTGTTAGTTATGTGATCATATAGTGTAGATGTGTCCTAAGAGACTAAGTTAATATTTAATAATTCGAGAGGTTGGCAATTAAACACAAGAAGCCCTAAAAGCCATCTTAAGCCAAAACTCTCTACTAATACAAGCAAATGATAATATGGCTCAACTCACGCTTTTATCCTCCGGTGACGGCACCGACTAGTTTCGGATCCTTCGGGGATCCTTCTTCAGGGCGAGTATTGGTGCCGTGCGAGGCGCGACGCGACCGCGAACAAAAGTTAAATAATGCTCGCCCTGAAGAAGGATCCCCGAAGGGTCCGAAACTAGTCGGTGCCGTCACCGGAGGATAAAAGCGTGAGTTGAGGCGTTTTTAATTAATTTTTGCTTAAAGTAATGTCTCACGATAGTTTAAACGATTTAAATGATAATATTTTTCAAACCGGTATTCCACGGTCTTAAGTTTGATATGAAACTCTTACCGAGATTTTTAGTATTATAGCCATCTTTCTTTTCTTTAAGAGAATAAATAGAATGACTGTATGTTTTTGTACAAATTAGTAATGGAAATGCTTAGTGGTACATATTGTCATGATGCTCTCCGTTGGATAGTCGTGGCGAACCTTGCTGTCTCCGAGAGTGTGACTTAAGATGGCTGACAAATCCAAAATTGTGCATATTATACTTACTGCTAGTCACTTTTGGTGGAATGTAGTTATTCAAACTATCAGCGTACAACGTGGTGTATTTAGCCGTAAGTCGAGGTCGTGGCTTGTAGTCGTTCACGCCGTACACAGAATACTTCTTGTCCAAATCTCCGTCAGATTCCTCCAAGTTCTTGATAGACGCTGATCCACCGTAACTACGCACCTAAAGATGTAATGTAACTAATCTAAAAAATACATCGATAAATCTTTCCTACTAACAACTGTTTTGTCTAAATTTTAGTTTTGTTTGTCTAAAGTTTGTTAATAATTTTCAATTGTTTCATTAAACTATTTATTTTAATAGATAATGTTATTAAATAATGTAAAACAAAAAAACAGTTTTGTTTTGTTTTTTTAAGGTAAAATCTGATTAAACATTAAATTAGGAACATTGTTTACAAATATTGTCATTAAAATTAGAACTCGAAGTATTTGAGCTTTGATTAAATTGTATTTTCAATAATCAATTTAATAATTTAATGAAATTCCTGATGAATCACTTACGCTCGGTGCACTCCCAGATAAAAAATATCTGAGTTTCGAGACTGCCTCTTTGTACGCCATTTCCGTGTAATCCGGTATCCTTTTGGAACCGTACTCCATCTTCGGGCGTCTGTAGGAGAAATATGCGCTCATTTTAACTGCCCACTATGTCACATTTTAAATTAAAAATAAAATGAAATTAAAAACAAAATAAATGTCAAAACGTTGTTCCGTAATGACGCATTGCGATTTAATGTCAAGTGGGGACTCGACCGTATTGATTTCGTGGTTGCCATGGTTACCGTTGTTAGGATAAATAAACGAGGGATGCACAGTTTAATAAAAATAGTACTTTTCTATTTTTATCTATATTTTAATGACCACAAGATTTTATATTTATTGAATTAATATGCCTGGAATGTTTATTGACACTGAGGGGTTTTTATTTTTTATGACTTATGTAAAAAATTACTAATAGTTCCTTGTAACCATTTGGCGAATTCGAACTAACGACCACAGGAGTCATAGTATGCATGTTTAATTATTAGACTATCGTTGTTTTACTAAAATTGGAAATTCAGAGTTTCTATCTACCGTAATATTGTTTTTTTTTATTACTCATTTATTGACAAAAAAATAATGCTTGAACCAACCAAAGTTTAATATAGTATAGTTGTATATAATCAAATTAAATGTATTAATTTATTTGTATCGCAACTAAAAAAAGTATGTTTTTACATTTTAAATATACATTTCAGTTATATTTTTAATCTAATGAGTTTTCATTCATTAAAGAAGAGTTAATTGGTTCAATTATATGACTAAAGTAATAAATTAATTTGATTTTTTTCATTTAATGTAATTGAAACTATTGAATAAAAAATAAAGCCATTAAAACTAAAGGAAAAAATCAAGTTCAATTTATAATTATCATTATAATTTTGTTGAACATTTTCACGGTAAATGTAATTCAATATTGAACAAGGAATTTAAAAATAAATAAAAAACAAAGAACTCAAACATTGCACAAGTAAAAAATTTGTATTGAATATTATTTTATTTTATGTACTCGCCTAATTTTAGATCGCTTCAGTTTTCCATTCATCTCTTTATCGGAGCCAACACTGGAGCCACTTTTACCTCTATACCCTTTTGATTTACTGACGTAACTAGTTGAACCCATACTCCGTACAGCCGGTAACAAAGCTTTCTATATTTTTATAAACACTTTTATATGTTTGAAGTTCAAAATTATTTGTACTAGTGTACTCACACGACAATGAACAGACAATGTCTGAGAAGGAGTAAGTTTTATTCGTTACTTTTGGAGTTTCCTGTTTTTGTCCCTTTCGTGTAAGGGCGGGAAATCGATATATCGGTTTCGCTCTAAAGAAAAGTTTTCATCGGGATGTTATAGTCTAGGAGCTAACGCAAATTACTGTGCGGGTGTTTTTTTTATTTTAAAGCCGAAAGTAAATAGCAATAGAGAACTAGACTAGACTAAATTTAAATTTCGAACCTACATTTTTTTGCTCTTGGACTTATACTTTTGCGTCTTAATGCATGTACCAAAAAACTTACATTTTACTTAATTTCTATTTTTCTGCTAATAATTATAAAATTGTCTTTCTTATTAGAAGAAAGATTAGTTACACCTTTTACTTGGGATTTAGAAGGATATTTTTTTCGTATTTAATTGTCACACTAGCTCTTAGACTAAGAGACAGGCAGTGTCTTGCGTGAGAATCACGGCCATTACTGTACTTTTTGGAGGGAAAATACGTTCCCGATCACGCAAAGCCTGTCGTTTGAAAACTGAGCATCGCTACTGACTTTATTGCATCGATTTTATTCTTCAATTCTTTGTCTTTTGATTATATTTGATGGCAATTTTAACATTTGAGCAACATTTTTGGAAGTACCAATATCATCATTTAAATAATAAATAATAATAATAATAAACTATTATTAAAAAACACATAGAAAATAAAGAGAGGACGCACATCTTTGACTAAACTATTTCTATGAGTTTATATGGAGATGCACACACTAGTTACTCGACAACTAAACGTTGGCTACGAAAAAATCGATTATGGTATAACTATTGTGGCATAATTGTCAAAGATGTATCGTTCTAAAAGTTAATAAAACAAAACATACGCTTGCCGGTGCACTAGACTTTGTCTATAGGAGGGAAGTTTTTATGTTTCTATTTTTTTAATTCTATGAAAACTATCAGAATAGAGTCTGTAGTGAACATAACGTTCACAGTACATTTGTAGTTATGAAATTGTAATAACTACAAAGTATAAGATAACCTGACGGTGTAAGGCGGTGCTGGGACGAGATCGCGTGACTTTAGACCCTTCTTGAGGTTACTTTTTTATTCTGTTTTTGTTTACTGCTCTACATTCTTGTTTGTAGCGATAAATGTTTTAAGAATGTTTTGGGTATAAATAAAAACTACAAAATAGAAAAAAAATTGTTTTATTAATATCAAAAACTACTTCGATATCAGCAATATATGTAATTAGTAATACCTATAGTAACATTATGTATACGAGATAACTGCATTTTAACAATTACTTTGTTATATTCAATAATTTTGATATATTGTATTGAGTACACAACCACTTATTGATATTTTTGGACGTTACAGGTGCGTGTTGCGTTGAGTTTCCATTGTCGTAAAACCTGTATTACAACTATACTGGAATCCCTTAAACAAAATGGAGATAACAATGTTCTTAATACATTTATTACGGTAGTGGACACTTAAGGCCGAATACTGAAACGTTATTTAAATTTGTAACAGCGTCTAAAATGATCACAAACACCAAATCCCTTACAACTTTAACGTATATTGTAGGTGCTTATAGAATGAAGTATTTAAGATTCGTTTCAGCATTTAGTCGTAAGATTGTTCATAAAGCGCACTTCGACTTAATACTTGCTTACAGTAACCTAAGGGTTCTAATTTACAGTCCTTTAAGGCAGATAATTTACTGATTACATGTCAAACGCGTGTTGAGACAATTTGGTAAACAAAACTCGTAAGATAAGAAGTACGCTTTATTATTATAGAGCGCACACGTTTGATTAAACTATCGCACACTGTTTAGTCTCGCTTTGATTCTTTTGGGCTTATTAGGTACACTACTCGATTTTTAGTTATGCTACCAAACAGTTGAATTGGCTGCGGAACAATCGACAGTCAACAATTGTGCGATATTTTTGTCAAAGGTGTCCGCCTTGGAACACGACCGTTAAAATCTATTCCGGCAGTTTTTACAATGCTATTACAAAGTTGTTATTTAATTTCACTACAAAATACATCTATGGGTTTCAAATACACTAGACAAGTCTCTGTTTTGTCAAAGAGGTGGTCAATAAGTGCAAATGGAACTTAGTTTGTATGAAAACTTAGATTCTAACAGTCTCCAAAAATTAAGTATACATGTCTTGTAAAGTTAAATTAAGTTATTTTATACTGAAAATGTAATGAATATAGAATGAAAAATGCGTACAATAATAATGTTATATGTCCAATAATATAGATTAAATATGGAGGAATGTTGATAATAAATATAAGTCAATTTTTAATAGAAATTCAAAAAGAAAACGGCCATTAACACGTTGAAAAACCAACTCTAAACATCTTGTGCGTAACTCGATGAAAGTGCAAATAACAAGTATAGACGAAAGAGATCTTGTACCACACCTTGTACCACACCCCGCGCTAGCTGCGGTCAGTGTTGGTAAAAGGTTTACAGAAAAAAATGTGTTGGATGCCGTAAGAAACTGCGGACTTCGTAACAAGTCAAGAAAGGGACAGAAAAGTTAAAAATGCTATAACGTAATGTGTTGCATATAGAATATCTTTTTTGGGCTGTTTAAAGTAAGAAAGATTGAATTATGCATGTTTTATATACGATAAAACGCATTTAAAACTATTGATTTCCACAAATCAAACATTGATTTGAACACAAAATTCCCTTATTCAGTGCGGCACCAGGTATTGGTAAATAATGAAGTACTAAACAGGCTGTTTACGTAATTCTTTATATTGTAAACACTAATAAAATCTAATAAAACCAGTTGGTAAAGACTTATAATCGTGAGCCCGTGACACGAGGCATGTAGCTCCCATGTACGTTGTCATAAGCATTTTTTCCTCTAAAAAGTAAGGCAAAAACAGGATTTTAGTTTCTAAAGTGAAACAGGGTTTAAAAAGCCTGGTACGGCCATAATGATAGTTACATCACCGGGTGTTAAACACCGGAGGAACTGAGAGAATAGAATATCTGCCGCTTTAAACGTGATAATGCCGCCATTTTTGAAAATTGAAATAAGAATAATGTTTTTAAGAGATCAAATGGTTATAATTACTGTTTATTTCCATATATTTGTTGTGTTTAAGTTTCAAATATAATTGCATATCAAATATTAATGTTAGAAAGGAACAGATATTTGGAACATTTTGGTTTATCTGTGGTTGAAATAACAATGTTATAAGAATAAAAGCAACGTAATCCATAAAATTAGTAAAATTATTAAAAACAAAACACTACTTTTTGGTGTTAGTAACTATAACAAACTTAATACTAGAAGAAAAATAAATATATTAAGTAGATTCGGATATTTCATTGCACGAAAATATATTTTTTTTTGTAAATATATTGCTTTTGAACGATGGCACGTTTTTTGAATAAATATGTAGCAAAATAAGCATATTAACATTTTATATACATTGTGCGCTTGCGTAGTTTTGTCATAGATATTGAACTATCTTGTCTATGGCACAGAATATCAACTCATAAGATTTGATATAAAACTATTTACAATGAACATAATCAAATTGTATAGTAGTTCTCAAATATACTAGCAGCTTTTAAGAAGCTGTGCAAAATAATTTTAAGTGTGAATTGCGATGATCTTGAGCCGGCAAGATATTTGAAAAGAACTATACCAACGTAATGTAGTGTAACTTTATCTCATTCGAAGGGAGAGGCGTTGCTGTGTATGTTAGTAAAAAATATGTAATACTTATTATAGAAAATGAAGTAATATTGTAAATTATCAGTGATGGGGCACTTAGTAAGTTATTGCTTAGTTTACGCTTTACACGTTAAATTAGTTTAGTTTTTATAAACTAAAAAATTAACTACTATTGCGTCCATATTGTTATAGAAAATGTCTGTTAAAATACGGAATAATTTTAAATGCATTCAGTTATCACTTTAAATTATTGGAATTTGTTAACGACTTGTTTAACCCAACTGCCTTTTAGATCCTCAGATATATCAGTTTGTTCTACACTACTTTTATTAACCGGAACGTTGGCTTTCTCTGAACTGCTACTTGGTGTTATTTTCAATTCTTTATAATTCTCGCTTACACTTCTTTCAAATGACGCTACTTTAGTCGTAATCGATTTCGGTTTATTATATGTCTTTTTTATACCCGGGTTTGATTTCGTTTGGGATTTCGTCATCATTTCCAACTCCATTCTTCTTTCTAAAACCGTTTTTGAAGCGATCTTAGGCGTTTCTGATCGATTCTCTGTTTGCAATTTTATCTTTCGTGTCGCAGAATCTAGACTTGCTCGTTCGAAACTTAATCGTTTTAATTGTATATTACCCTGTTGATTGATTTTATTGCTTATGTTTTTTAAATCTTCTTTAGAATTGACACCATCTTTCGTTTCTTCGATATTAGGTTTCTCTTTAATTCTTCTTGCGTTTTCTGTTGTAGGACTAGATTCAGATCTTGATAGGCATGTTTTTTGTATATTTCGTTTAATAGTTGCTTTGTTAGTTAAATCAGATGGTTGCTCTGGTTTGACTATTTCTTTGTTTTTTACTGCAGCTGTTTGTGTTATGTTCCCGATTTTAGGTTTGACTGGAACTGGAGGAGCTATTTTAGGTTTACTTGACTTGATAATTTCATTCTTCTTCGTATCTTGTGTTGTTTCTTTGATTTTGTTAGTTGTTATTGTGACTTTAGAGTTTGTGCATGTTTTTTCACTTGTTTTAGTTATGATAATTTTCTTAGATACTGATTCGCGTTTTAGACTTTCGATACGTTTGATAGTTTTGTTAACTGTTTTGTGGTCGCTGCATTCTCTCGTATCAATATCTTCTTGATCAGAATAAACAGCTGAATCTCTAAAAACATCCTCATCAGTGAAGTGTTCGATCTTTTCGAATGATTTCTCATAAAAACTCTCATCGGAATTTATTTGTGTCGATGATTCTGAGTTTTGTTTTGAGTCTGTTGTTTTGGTTTGATTTTGTTTAATCTGTGGCTCCTGGTAAGTACTTTCACTGGATGAAGTTACAAAAGAAGAGTTGGAGAAGAGACTGTCAGGTCTGACCGCGTTTTTATTTATTAGTACGTTGACAGTTTTAAGAGTATTTCTTGCGTTGCCGAGTGTTGTTGGATCTACGTAATCAGACTGAGCGATACGAGCTCCTAGATATTTGCTACCTTGCATGTATATGGGTAATTTGTTTATGTTTTGATGAGAGTTATTGTTTGATTTCAAAGGAGAGGAACTGACGGAACTGGAAGTGCTGGTTACCATGCTAATACTTTTGCTGTAATTGGGCCTTTTGTCTGTTTTCTGTACGATATCGTCGCAGCTATGAGATAGTGTTTCCAATTGATTCTTTTCTCTTTGACTTTCAGTCATCGTGGTGCCTTCATGCATACTTTTACTGAAAACATCATTTGCAATGCTCTCTGCAGTTGTAGAAGTAGCGTCCGTCGTAATCACTACTTTAATGTCAGTTTTCATAGTATTTTGTAGATCTTCTGATAGTTTTGTCTTCAAATCATATTTAGCTTGTATGTCGTCTGGCTCATCGCCAATAATACTTCGAAATCTTTGTAATAGATTTCTGGAATAACTTCTAGGGTTAAGTGCGGATCTCTTCTCATTTGTAGGGCTTTTATTGATATTATCAGAATTACTTAAATCGTTTGCATTTATCTCGGATTCTTCATTACTTTTGTTAGGGTTTCTGCCTTTGAAACGACTTAGTACATTTTTAAGTGACAGGACATTCGCTGTAGGCTTGTAAATTTTATGTTCTGGGTGTATTACTTCGTTCTCTGTCTTATTGCCGTCCGTTTCTATTGGTAGAACTTCGCACGAAGATGTTGTTGATGTATTTAAATTCGTTTGCAAGTTAGTAGAAGTGTCGTTTTTGTTCGCATCCATGTCTAGTTTCTCGAAATTTTTATAACATCTATCTATTTCTTCTTCTAGCTCTAATGTAGACTGACTGATATTTTGACTGTAATCAGGATTGCTTGATTTTGATACTTTGCAAAATTTAAAGATGTCATTTTCACTCATGTAATTTTCTACATCGTCGTAACTTAGTTCACTTTGGTCTGAAGCAATTGTAAAAGGTCTGTCCGTGCTCATGACCTTACCATCTCTGTTTAGATAAGTCTTGCTGCTTCCATTGGGTTTGCATTTAAATGAGCTTAGATTATTTTCGTCCTGACCGCTTGTGGGCACTTGGAAGCTACGTGGAAGTGAACCAGATTTCCTATCTCTGGAAACGTTAAAGTGCTCTTTCTGTCGACTTAGCCAGATTTCTGGAGTGTTAGGACTTTGCTGTTCCGGACCCATTGGTAGATATTCACAAGGTAAATTACTAGGCACTTCTTTATTCCTTCTACAGACTTCTATAAGATTGTCGTAGATATCTTCAGTTATAGGAGGACCCTTTTTCTCCATCGTAACGTAATATTCTGATTCATTTGTAGATTTCACTTTCTGTGGTGATTTTACTGGTACATCATATATACCGTCATCGTCGATTTCATTTTGTTTATTAAATGATAAATACACGTAGTCTGATTCTTGTATATTTCGTATTTCTGCTGGATTTATATTAGGTGGGGAAGGTAATCTCTTTGGTCGAGGTACGTGTGTGCTGTGCTGTATTACTTTACTTTTACTATTTAAAGAATGCAAACGTTCATCTGCTCTATTTTCAACTCTTAGAGTTTCGTAAATATGATCATCATCTGATACCGTTTGCATTTCATTTGATTCGATTATATCTTCATTATTAGTGTTTATTTCTAAATTCTCTGATGTTTGTCGAGTATACTTCGGTATCGATCTTGGAGAATCGAAGCTTCTAGATAGAATTACTTGATCAGGGTTCGAATGAGATTTTAATAATCTTTGATGTCGCCTTTGGGCACTATTTCTTTGCTGTTGTTTCTTTAAAAGTTTTTGGAATTCACGATTTTCTAATAAAAGTTGTGATATAATTTGTTCCAAAGGTTGTTCTGTATCGCAACTGATTGCTGTTTCTTCTTGTTCTATGCATGCTTTATCTTCAAGTTCTGAACTTTCGTTGATAACTTTTTGGTTATGTAAATATTTAACTTTCTCTAATTCATTCTTTTTGAACGAATCCGTTTTTTCTATTAGTCTTTTGTATGTCTCTTCATCTATATCTTCGTCTTTACTTATTGTCTCTGGTACTTGTAATTTGTCTTTACTATCGGATTGTTTATCTATATTCAGACTATCGTTAGATTCTGATATATGTAGAATATTTTCTGTAGAAACATCAGTTGAGAAGTCTGTATAGAATCTTGAAGTATCAGAAGTAACACGAAAACCTTTTGCTCTATTTTTCTTTATTTTCGATATCTTCTTTGGTATGTTTTTAGTGTTGTACATTTTTATTTCCAAATTCGATTTTATTCCAGTTATTCCTTTCTTTTTCGATTCACCTTCAATATCGGATACGACAGAACCATCACTATTTTTAGTTTTTCTAGATATCTTATTAGAGCCACAACTTCTACATTCGAATTCAATTTTTTCATTACCTCTGCTATCATTTTTATCGATATCACTATCTTGGGATTTCTTTATAATGAATCCAATATTATTTTGTTGTAGGCCTGGTTCTGATTTTCTTCTCCAAGTGCCTATTTTAGATAATTTAGATCTTTGTGGATCATCTTTAGATTTCGATCTGAGATTATCAGTTTTAGGTCTATCGATATCAATACATCTAGACCTTCTGGTATGTAAAGTCTGTAAGGAGTCTGTTACGGGAATGTTTTCTTTGATTTTAGTACATTTGAGGCAAGTTTTCGGTATATTTTTTACGCTGGATAATGAATTATTCGTATCACTTAGATCGTCTTTACTCGTTCTTGAGTCAGTATATCCTATGATATTATCAGACGAATGGTAGCCTCTAGTTTTGTTTAAAGAACCTGGATATTCTTTGCTAAAGCTTTCTTGTGATGATTTGAAATCGGGACATTTGCAACTTGCTTGTTTCCTTTCTAAATGTTCAGCGCTGCCCGAATCTATATAATGTAGAGATCTATCACATTCTGGGCATTTTTCTCCAGTCTTGTTCGTCTCAGTACAATCGCACTGTCTCTCTCTAACTTTATCCTTGTTGGATATTTCTGTTTCACAATCGGAGCATATATCTATATAGCAGTTATCGCAAGTATAGTCTGTCCCTTTCTCCGCTGAATATTGAAGACAATCACACTCGATAGTTTCAGTTCTTGAGTTAGGTAATGTATATTTTCTATTACCCTTTTTAAGTCTACCTCGTATACCGTTTTCGAATGATTTCCTTCTTTCTCTTTCTAGTTTTCTCTTCTCTAGATACTCTGGTGCTGAGAGTTGTTTTCTCATTGATGCTTGAGTTATGAGATTGTGCGATTTCTCCGCTAACATGTCGTCTGGAAACAAAGAAATTTGCTTAATTTCTATGAAGAATTAAGTAAATATTTAGTATCTAGTCGCAAAAACCTTTCAGGCTTAGTTTTTATAGCTATAAATTATTATTTTAATATATTTACCATCAGTTTTGTTCTGTCCCAGTTCCATCACCAGCTGTCTCGCGTGCGAAGGTATGACGGCGTTGTAATTTTCCAATATCACCTGAAAGTTAAGTAAAATTCATATAAAATTATCGTTAAGCTAGTTTTACTCCCGCTTAACGTAAAACCTGAGAATATAAACTTTTTTAATAAAGATTAGTTTGTAAGCATCCCTTAGTTGCCAATTACACGTGTATTTCATATAGTGTACTTGACTAAATTATCGCACCATTGTTGAGTCTCGGTTTAATTGTGCAACTAAACAGTTGAATGCTACGAAACAATCGACATTCGCACAACTGTTTTACAATAGTTTAGACAAAGGTTTGCGCCTACTCTTAGCAGACATTAGTGACACTTATCGAGGTGTAGTGTAAGCGATAATGAACCTACCCGCTTTAACAATAAGGTCCACTCCCGCTTGTGTCGCGGCGAGCGCGCCTGCAGCGTGAGCTGAGCGCGCGGCGCGTCCCACGGGATCACGTGGAAGGAGAGCGGCGCACCCGCTATTGATTCCACCAGCATCATATTGTTGCACTGCAATTGTACAACACATTTTGCGATAAAACGCCTGCCATTTTTAAATAGCAATAAAATTGCTATTTATAATTGACAGGTGTTTTAAACAGCATAACAATTGCTATTTATAAATGAAAAGCGATTTTGAATAACATAACAATTGATATTTATAATTGTCAGGCGTTTTAAAATAAAATAAGAAATGCTATTTAAAAATTGGAGGCGTTTTATATCAGTTATTTAAACAAAATGACATTACTTGATCTAGATGTATATTTATTTTTAAATATCACTATATATATGTGTATACTGACCATGATGTGCGACTTATAAGCAAGTATGCCGTCCTCCCTGTTCTTGGTGACGAGTAGCATTTTATCGAAGAGGAAGGCGTGCCGCATCGCCTTCGCGCCGAACACTCTGCAACAAATACTCCATATAGTTAACCATGCATTTAAACTGCTAAAACGCCTGTCATTTTTATTCCTCTTGAGGAATCAAAGATACTCTATGAAGATATACACGGGATTTGCTAGTTAACAATTTAAGCTATGAAGAAGTGGAGCAGCTATCGTTATTATGGTCTTATTATTTGTAGTTTTTTTATCTGTTTTACATTTTTGTAGTCTCTAGGGGAGGGGGGCCAGCTGTCCCCTTCTATAGCATCTGGTAATTCAAGTGAGCCAAATGTCAGAGCACAAATAGGAAAATTTGAATGCTTGTGCTTGAATTCCATAAAAATATAGTACTCAGCAATTAAATTGGAACGTAAAGCGAAGAGTTTTTCTTGGTGTGCCAAATCAAATGTTGATTATTACAAAATAGATGGTTATATCACCTGAAGGTCCCTTCGGCACACAGCTCTCCGTAAGTCGTGAGGTCCGGACCATTCCAGCCGTACAGCAGGGACTGGATCTCCTGAAACATTATCGCAAATAAGTATTTAATATAAATCATACTAATATTATAAAGAAGAAAGATTTACAAATTTGTACGTATTGTAACTCAAAAACTACTTGGCCGATTTCAAAAATCTTTTACTGATAAATAGCTTTCACTGAGTAACATAGGCGATATATATTACAAGTTTTATTTCAGCTCGGACGAAGACGAGAGCAACAGCTAGTCACAAAAATCGGTATTTGAGAATCTATCAAATTCACTATTTTCCATTATACTTTACTTTATTTAGTAAGTACAAAAAGAGGCAAGCCCAGTAGAAATCAAATTGTTGCAATTTCTAATACCAACCTGCACTCGAACTGCGTGTTCGTGTCGTCGTTTCATGTCGTCGATGTGGTGCGCGATTCCAGTCATCTTGAGCAGCGCGTACTCCGTCTCTCGTGATGCACATTGCTTCACCACGTTCTGTCACAAACATTAACTGTCTAATTACTCTAATCTATTGAATAATAGTAACTATTAAAATCTCATATGAGAAAAGTTACATTTCTAAAGCAATTTCACAAAATCTTAAGCGATGTAAGTTACCGTTCTTAGAAATTTCAAAAGTCTTCATCAGTCGATCTCTAAGAATACATCATTATATTCCTGTTAATTTCGTGACATAGTTAGTAGGTTTTATTAAATAATTCATTTGCTATTTGATATTAACAGGCGTTATAATATTTATACTAATTACATGTTTTTCTAATTTACCAGAACATAATTCAACTCACTTGCAACAACAGATGGTACTTCAAGATCCTTTGAACCGGTTTTAATAAATAAGAAGCCAATGGGAGTGGATGCTGTAACTCCATCTGTCTCTCTCTAAATTCCCTTGCGCTCTGAGGCTTAGAAGCGAGTGCAGCTAGTCTTTCCATAGTGCGTGGATATCCAGTACAATACGATGTATAGACAGCGAATCCGGCAGTATTGTTGACGAAGCAACGAGCAATGCAGGTCGCGTCCAATCTACAGGTGTTTAACTCTTCACACAGGGACCTAGGAAAAGAAACCGATAATCTTACCAATGTTATAAATGCGAAAGTTTAGATGCATAGTTTGTTTCGTATCTCCAGGATGGCTTAACGGATCTCGCTGAAATTTGTCATAGATGTAGATAATAATAGCTTTCGCCCGCGACTCCGTCCGCGTCGAGTTCAAAAAAACGAAAGTTGTGTGTGTGTGTTCTTCCAGACTATCCTCTACTCTATGCCAAATATCATGGAGATCCTTTCAGCCGTTTAGGCTACAAACTCTAACAAACATCTATCCATCCATCCACCTAAACTTTCGCATTTATAATATTAGTAAGATTATGTCCTATGTAAACTATAAATGAAGTATTTTATTAAATTCCCCGTGGACGGAATTGCGGGCGTTAATTAGTTTTAGGTAGAATAGATTAAATTCTACGATTTTAGCCATATAAGAATTTGAAACGAATAAGTTGTTTTATTAATGGAGTCAAATAACATGAGTATCTTTTGGGTAGTCGTTCAAAAAGCAAATAGTTTAAAATGCAGGCTGTTTGAAGTAAATACACTAAGGTAATGTTTTAGTCGACTTCATGGATATTAAATTGTAAGCAAAAGTAAAATTACGTTGTTGTTTAGGTTCCAGTTACTGGACTGACCTCGGTTTGCTACGACCTATTGTTTCTCTTTACAACGCCGTGTCGTAACGCGATTTAAGAGTTCTCGAGTTACCTGTTTTTATTATTCAGGATGCTTTTGTTTTCTTGATTACCGAGGAAAGGTTTTGGATGCATGCTAATACCTTCCTTTTGTAAAAAAGATACATTTGCAATCTTACTAATATAAATGCGAATGTTTAAATGGATGGATGTTTGTTAGTTTGTAGTCTAAATGATGGAACGGATCTCGATGAACTTTGGCATAGAAGTAAAGACTAGTTTGGAATAACACATAGAATAGTTAGTTTTTTTTTAAATTCCACGCTAACGGAGTCGCGGGCGAAAGCTAGTATTCAATGAAGAATGTATATGAAATTAATATTTCCTAATATAAGTTGGAATTTATGATTTTGTTACTAAACTTATGAAGACGGTATGTTTCTTTTATTGTATAATATTTTTGTATTTTTATCAGAACAAACATACTTATGTATTATATTTGTCTGTGATATTAAATTTATGAGAAAAACACGCTTTATTCTACTATTCTAAGTACTATAATTTCAATAATGCTCGTAAATATAAAGAACTCTTTAATTTGTCAAAACATGTAATACGATCGTCCCGCATCTGGACGTAAGTAAAGACCGCACGCAAGCTATCAACTATTGCCCGGTATAAATGTATGGGGGAGTCTTTTATGAAAATACCCTCTCTGTACGATCCCTTTGGACGTACGAGGGACTGCTAATCCCCTCACAGAACAGGGAGGGACTTTGGAATACATTTGTAAAGCAAAATATCTTACTAATATTTTTAACAATTTTTACCGGCGATTTAGTTCACGTGGAATTAAAAAACACAAAAGCAAGTAGCCTATGTGTTCTTCCAGACTATACTCTATATCAATTTTAAATTCAATCGAGATCCGTTCTGCAGTTTAGGCTACAAACTCTAACAAACATCCATCCAACTAAACTTTCATATTTATCATATACTATTAGTAACAAGAGTTTGCCGCCAAAACGGATCTCGATGAAATTAGGCATAGATGAAGAGACGTCTAGAATACATAGACGACTAACTTTTGTTTTTTTAAAAGTACGTATTGTATTGTAAAAATGGTTTATAAAGTGTACCTGTTAAAAGTGTATATATCTTCAATATTATTGAACAGTTCCGACAATTCTTCATCTGAGAATGTCGCGTCCCGCCTCCACACGTGTAGATAGCCCTGAAGCAGAAAGAGACAAAACATATAAAATTGGAAACAACATTTTGTTTGGAAATTTTAACTGACTTAAAAAAGAGCGGGACATTTCGTCATAATTTTGTGCCATATTCCAAAAAAAAAAGATATTTAAAAACAAACTATTGAAGTCATATGTTATTATGGAAATACAGTAAACGTAAATATCTTCCAAAGTAACTCCTAAGTGGATTGAATTGTGCTATTTATGAAACTTACTTTAAATGATTTTCGTAAAGTACCTACACTAACGTCATACCAGACAAAGGAATTTGATTCTTCTCTTGAGTCCCATAAGGTTCAATTTTAATCGACTTGTAAAGTTAATTACGACTGTCCACCGACAGATGGAGCTCTTTAAGTGTGTTTCTAAATATAAAGTCTTTAGTACTGTAATGGAGTCTTGAATAATTGAAATGAAAATAACTTAATTTATCGTTCTTGTATAGGGGTTTATACTTAAAACAATCGCGTTTATTTACTGTCCTTCAATGATTTGTTGCATATGTTGCTAGCGACTTCGTTAGAGCGAAATTAGAAAATATATCCTATGTTGGTCACTGATAACGTAGCTTTTTAATGGTGAAAGATTTTTTGAAGTCGCTCCAGTAGTTTTAGAGTTATTCCAATACATACAAAAAACTTTATTCTTTTTAATATTAGTATAGACTAGCTGTTGCTCGCGCCTTCGCCTGCGTGAAATTAAAAAAATAATAAAAGATATAGCCTATGTTACTCGTTGAAAACATAGCTTTTTAATGGTGAATTTTTTTTTTAAATCGGTCTTTTTAGAGTTATACATACAAAAATACAAATCTTTTCTCTTTATAGAATTAGTACAGATAAAGTAAACTATTTAGTGACATTCTAACTAGCAAGGGGTTGGGGGGGGGGGATTACAGCATTATTTCTTGACAATATCAAGTTACTATGTTATTACGCAAGTAAGAATGATCGATGAGATTCTGTTCATAGGATGTATAACGGTGGCTTGCCCACGCTGTCTGCTAGAAATAAAGACTTGAATACGTGTTAACACAAGGTACAACAGACGACTAAAAACTTATAAAAAAATAGGAAGAAACATTTTATTTAATCCAAAATAATAAAGAAAATAATAACATGTCTCCGATAAATTAAAGTGAAGACTAAGGGCACCCAGCACTGTCTGATAGGCTCAGATAGCGTAAAAATAACGTCACTGTCAGTTAAGAGAACAAAATCCAATATTTCCACCACATATTTTATTTATTTATTTATTTATTTTATTTTATTTATTGGTGATAACCACTCAGCAAATGTGCTGATCTTCCGTGGCTTTTAAAATAGATGGCACACACGTTTATTTTACACGTTGTATTGTTATCAGACAATTTATAATTTGGTGGGACAAGCCCTAAATATTTTTTTTGCTGTTTATGTGATGCTAAAGTTTAGTAGAGTACTATCAAAGTAACTTAAATCGTCCGTGTATGGTGGCTTTATTGGTGTTAAATAAAATTGTTCAATTATCGCCTACGCGTTTGCTTAATAAAACATAACCACGCACATACAATAAAAGTTGTATGGATGGTATAACGTATGTTACCTTTGAATTTAAAAAAGTTAAAGTATCTGTTAAGTTATATTAAACAAGCTTTCAGCCGTGACTCCGATTGCGTGGAAAAAAATTGTATGTAGCCTATGTGTTCTTCTAGACTGTATTGTACATGCCAAATTTCATCGAGATCTGTTTAGCAGTTTAGGCTACAAACTCTAACAAACATCTATCCATCTGAACGGATCTCGATAAAACTTGGCATAGATGTAGAGGATAGTCTGGAAGAACACATAGACTACTTCCTTTACTTTTTTTAATTCCACGCAGGCGAAAGCTAGTAAGATTATAAAACCATTATTGCGTTTAGAAAATCTATCGGGATCGGCCAATATTATGAAAAATTGTAAACAATTGCTTTTAAAAACTAACTAATATTTTGTCTCTTTCTAAAAGTACTGCCTGGAATGAGAAAGAGAGTGTCACGGCAAGTAAAACCTGACTACGTGAGTGTAGATACTGTTATCGAACATCGCCCACGCGGAGCTACGTAAGAATGGCCCTAATTTAAATATACACATTAAGGTGGCCAGCGTATGGTCCAAGTTATAAACTGAAAGCGAGATACTTTTATAAACAATTTTTTTACAATAAGCAGTTCTTATTGTAACTAATTGACCTTCGTCCTGTTATACTTATATCAAAAAATATTGAAAACATATGAATAGAAAATGACACATGACAATTCAATTAGTTAACTTTTGCTTACAAAGCCAATAAATTTGTCTCATTACAGCCAAAATAGGATAGTTAAAGTAGCTTAAACAATCCAAAATTGTATATACAATTTATAAAAATGTAATTATAAATTGTATATACAATTAAAAAACTTTACTTCGGTTAAAAAGTAATTCATGAGAGAATTCTTAATGTCATTGAAATCGCTACAGCTTAACAAATACGCCACAGTCAAACTTTCGTCTTCAACTAGACTTAATAAATTTGTAAGGAGATAATACAACGCAGGTTACAAACCCTTTCCGTTCATACGACATGGGCTTTCTTATCTGTATTACATTACAATAAATTTATTACTTTATAATAGAAATATAACGCCTACACAATACTACGTTGATTACACGAAATATTTGTACCAATCTTACTCATATTATAAACTAACTTTCACCCGCGACTCCGTCCGTATAGCATTAAAAAAACAAAAGCAAGTAGCATGTGCTATACCCGACTATCAATTTCATCGAAATCCGTTTAACCGTTAAGGCTACAAACTCTAACAAACATCTATCCTTATAAACTTTCGCATTTATAACATTAGAATGATAGTATAGAAATAGAAATAATTTTATTGAAAAAACAAGAGATTAACAATTACAATAACAGTCATACCAAGTAAAAGATAATTACAATTTGTGGTTAATATACGTTTTATCTGGTGATGCCCACACTATGATGCGTAAGTTTAGACGGATAGATGTTAGAGTATACAGCGTAAACGACTAAACGAATCTCGATGACATTTGGTTTATATGTACTAGTCTGAAAGAACACATAGGAATTTTGGTTTAATTTTTTATATCCCAAACGGATGGAATCGCGGACGAAAACTAGTATTTAAATTATTGAAAAATAGTGTTGTGCATAACTGTATTCTTTATTATCAGAAAGAGATAAAACATATCATTTTTAAGAAGAACGAAAGGGATAATTTAGAAAAGTCTCGATATACAGAATAATACTAACCTTGTGATTTCATAGCATAGATGAAAAACTCGAATAACACTGAATTGTATAAAAACTATCATTTATATGAAAACCTTTGAAAAACGTCCATTTCACTCAGAGAACGAATTTGAAATGAAATGTTAAAATAACAAAGACCATCTTATTAATATCTTTTGTAAAAATCTATTTATGACAATCTCACACGTTGACTAAATTAAGCTTCTGAAAGCTCGGAGGTAAATAAAACTAAATTAGACGCACTTGGGTTAAGCACGCATAAACTTTTGACTCATGATGTTTTTAAAATTAGGTTTCTACTACATGCTGCGCCAGGAGAGGACAGGAGCCGAGTTTAAAGACCTATCCCACCACTGGCTAAATCTCAGATAGCTTAAAATGAGGTCACTATAAGGTAACGAAATCCGATATTTTCAATACATATTTTACACGTTGGATTGTAATTGCAAATTACAATTTGGTGGGACAGGCCCTTAGTGTATTGTCTATTAAGGTTTTTTAGTACCAGGTTGCAACTTGACTGCACTTTCCACTTTAAGTGTGCTGGCACTATAAAATGCTTGTTTGTTTAATTTCAATACCGTTACAAACAGAAGATTCTAAATACGGACTTTAGTGATGTACGCGTGTGAAAAAACTGTCTATCGATATCGGCAATTTTTAATGCATTAAAAGGTTTATCTTAAATATTTAAACTATAGGATAAAACGAGTAATAAGTAAATGAATTCGATTTTGTCATTTTTCTACAAAACTTATATACAATAGAATTAACTAGTTATGGAATAAGTTTTCTATAATTAAAAAATATTACATATCTAATCGATAATGAAGTGAGCAAACACATCGAATCTCTCCATCCCTAGTCGTTTTTAAATGTCAGAAAAACACCCTGCAATCAACCCCATATTGGGCAGCTGTTCCCGTTAGACGTTCATACTAGAGTAACAACGTAATATATCTTAGTCCCTTTTAATAGAGTTCAAAGTACAGTAATAACATTTTAATAAATCTTGACCAGGATAATGTGATCTCTCGCTGTCTATATAACAGTTTTATAATGATAGTCTTAGTTTCGAGATTGAATAGACGTAGAGGTCTTAATATATTGGTTTAAAAGGTACCAATAATGGGCTTGTCAGGATAGCTATTATGGTGCGGGCAGAGACACGAGAATCTGGAATGTTTCTATTTTTATTCCTTCTCAGAACTTCTTTGTAACTGTATGTTAGTGATAAACATTGTATCAAATAGTCAATACTAGCTCTCGCCCGCTACTCCGACCGCTTGCAATAAAAAAAACTAGCCTATGTGTATTCCAGATTATGTCCCATATCTATGCCAAATTTCATCAAGATCCGTTCAGCTGTTTACGCGGTAAACTCTAACAAACATCCATCCATCGAAACTTTCGCATTTATCAGTAAAATAAGGTATCTGACTCATTCTTTAGTACACTTTGGATGTATGGACGTACGCTTGTTATTACTTTACACAGAACAGACGAACAGAGATAGACTGGAATGCATAGACTCTTATTTTCAACTACGAAACAAAGTGAGCGATAGCCAGTACTTGAATAAACGTGCAGTTAAAGTTAATTTTAAATAGGCATATATGGTTGACATGGTTGTGTTCCATACGGAGATCCCTTTCCGCCCATTTTAGCGATGTTAGCGACCACCATGTGGTTTTAGTCCGACATATTCCGACTTTACGTCTTAATGAGTCGGAATATGCATAGGCATTTCCCCACGTAAAAAATTGGGTGCTTGTTTCTTACAAGTACACTTTATAAGTTATTTAATTATAGTAAAATAATGAAAGATTTAGATTGTAATTAAATGATCCTTTGTACAATTCGCGCCTAATTAACAACGTCGTAACTAACGCAAGTTTTTAGAAAGTTCACAATGTTGATGTACTTACATGTTACTAAACGATAGGGTTGTCTATCATACTAATATTATAAATACGAAAGTTTAGATGGAATGATGGATGTTTGTTACAGTTTGTAGACTAAACGGCTAAACGGATTTCAATGAAATTTGGTATAGATGTAGAGGATATTCTGGAAGAACACATAGGCTACTCATTTTTTTTTTCACGCGAACGGAATTGCAGGCAAAAGTTAGTTTTAAATAATATAGATAAATCAAGTTATAGTATGGGAAGACGAAGATATGATTCGTAATATTTCTGCTTTAACATGTCAATAATTTTTATAAACTGAGTTACAAAAGAATCATCATTAAAGCCATGTTAAAAGAAACACAAAAAGCTTTGATATTTAAATTATTAAAAACTAACTTTTGCTCGTGACTCCGTCCGCATAGAATTAAAAAAGGAAAAAAAGTAACCTATGTGTTCTTACAGAATATTTTCTACATCTATGCCAAATTGCATCGAGATCCGTTCAGTTTAGGTCACAAACTAAAACATCCATCCATCTAAACTTTCGTCTTTATAATATTAGTATGAAGTACGATAACATAACTCACGCCGTAATTTAGTGGTGTAGGCAGAGATCACAGATTTCCCTTTCACATTCTTACATTAAGATTGATGAAACACATAATTCTTAACTCTAAACTTATTACATAACGTGGAAGTCTCAACCACACGTGTGGCAACCCTGACCACATTATTGGTGAAAGTAGACTGCATGAGATGGAAATTAGTTAAGCGTTGAAATACAGAGTAATTGGACGCCTGTCCCAGCACCTGGAAACTGCTAACGATGTCCCAGGAGTGTGCCATGATCACAATATTCTAAACACATTAAAACGAAGTAGGAAATTTTATGAAATCAAATAACCGTTACTAATACTAGATTCCGGAAGCCTCCATTTATTTTATCAAAACCTATAAGCGGTTTCCCTACTAAATTTAACCGTTCGTGTTATGAAATGAGTTTCCGAATTACGTAACTTGAGTTTTACTCCGTTGAAACTTAGGCCAAGCTAACAATAATAGTTAATCACAAAAACATACAGACAAATTGTGTACCTCCTTCTTTGGGAAGTTTGTCAAAAATGAAAGGTAACTTCAGCAATCCAGCATTAGTGGATTATTAGTGTAAAGTCGATCTAAGACTCAACGGGGTTAAACTAAAAAAAACACTAATAGTTAAATGTACCTAGGAAACCGGCCTTAAGTCTATGCAGATCTGGCAAAAAAGATCAAGTATCAGAATTAGAATAACGAAAAATAGAATATAAAAAAATCAAAGAGACCACCAGCATATATTATTAGACGAATCAATCAATAATCGTTAATTAATAAAAACAATAATTATAAGGTCTCACATAACTGGCTACTGAATTTCCCTCCAAAACGAGCGTTCATGGCCGCACGTGTCACTCTGACGTGTCCATCACGTCGCTGTCAATCTAATTGCCGTTGACGTTTGGTTGGCAGCCATGATTTTGTTCTCTTTTTTACAGGCATTTAACTTCCCCTAACTTAAAAAAACCTCACATTCATCAGGTATTTCTGATTATGAAAACGTCTTCGGATTTCAAGCTTTACCGACATGCGGATAAATAGATGAAAAAGCGAATATTTTGGTCTACCCTCACGATTATTGTAAAACTACCCTACAGATTTGGAACTTATATCGTTATTAATATAACCTATAAATTTACTGTCAAATACATGTCACTTTTGAATAAGGTGTTGCCTGTAAAACCGCGAAGTACAGTAAACTGTATGTAGGTCAGTTTGGTCAGCACGCGAAGCTTTTAGCATATTAATAAGTTTCTTCTTCATTAAAATGAAATAAAAATGCAATTAATTAACGGTTACTCGAAAAATTTTAGATGTTAATGATATATCTATACATATAATAAAATTAGAGTGTTTGTAACATTAAAATAAAGAATCCAGATTGCGGGAAGATGATGCATTTGCGTTGCTGATAACGAAAATTGAATTTAAAAATTTTTTGACCGACCGACCTTCACTGAAGGGTAGCAGACATACACGGGTACATTATAGGCTACTTTTTATCTTAACATTGCGTGAACGAAGTCGCGGGCAACAGCTAGTTTAAAAGTAAAAAGCTATTCAGAGAAATTAAAAGTAACATTAAGGCAATATTGAGAACAGCTAAATAAACAATTATAAATAAATACAAAAGAGGAAACTATGAGGCGACGAATTAGGACGAGTGTGGTGTTTCAAAGATGAAGGAAATGCACGCGGAGAGTTAAATATAGCTACACGAACTTTCCTATAACATAATAAAGATATAGGTCGTAATGCAAAATAAAGGTAACCTTAACGAACGTTGTAAGGAAAAAGACAGCTGTCTTGACTATGTCTTCAAAAGTAGTCTGAATGTTATTTAGAAAGAAAAAGAGACTTGTATGAGAAACTTGCCATTCAGAGACAAGATAAGGCCAGAGTCAATGAATTCCGAGATCTTAAGGGCAAATAAATTTTTATCAATTTAATATTACTTACCTCTACGACTTGCCTCAGATCTTCGACGTAGACCTTCTCAGTCTGGACGATCTCTGCACACACTCTCTCCAGTTGTGACAACCCTGACATCTCGTCCAATGTCTGCTGATCTAGAAGCAAACACTGGTACTGTTAGTAAAGACGTAACGCACAAAACGAGAATTTGTCACAAGAATCTTTAAAAGAAATGTGATTAGGGGCCAACCTAATGTAGGATACCAATCCTTGCATCTTAAAAATATTGGATTTTTAAACACAATTTTTATATTTATAAAAGCTCAATTGTTTGCTACAGTACGATAAATTTATGCTTGGAAGGAGTTTTAACAGTCTACGCCCCACAGTTCATTAATATTCTATGTTAATTAAAGGAAAACTTACGTGGCAAATTCTCAGAACACCCTTCAGACACGCTCGGGTTTAAAATGCCCGCATTATTAACAAAGTTAGTGCTGCCATTAGCAGACGTCATGTCGACGTCACTATGATCGTCTAGACTCTCGATCGAAGCCAAGTATGCGGAGTTCACTCCTCCTTTATTTTGAACGCCACTACTTGATGTTGAACTAGAAGAGGCAATGGAACTCATAGATAATGGTCTTGTCACTTCTACTATTGGGGGATTCAATCTTGGTACTTCTTTTTCCGGGACTGCACATGATTTTAAATTGCCCGTAGATGCTATTGTCTCTGGATATGGTCCAGTTTTCATTAATTGATTTTGAACAGTCTCTTTTGACGGTATTAAGTTTCTTCTGTGCAAGCTGTTAGTCCCAACGTTGAGGAGTTTAGGTGACTTGGCAGGTGATCCTTCAGGTGAACCTTTAGGCTCCGGCTTTTGTGGAGAACATTCTTTCGATGACAATTTTATATCAAATTCTCTATCGTTGCCCGTTATAGAGAGTTCGATTGATTGGTCGATGTAAGGTAGAGATAACGATTCGAATGCAGTCTTATTCGAGTTGGGAACATCGTAAATCGCTGGCATATTATTCGTTGGTATATCATACGTTTGATCTGTTTCTATTCTAAAGTCAGGTTTTACTGCGATTATTTTTGATGGTAATTCGTAGTTATCTTCAGATACCGATTTGGGTATACTTTTAAGGCCTGACGGTTGATCGTAAATTTCTACAGATTGTGATATCTTTGAGGTAGCTCCTACTAAAGGGATATTGCATCTATGCCTCGTAGAAGATCTTAGTGTACTGACACTTTTCTTTTGGAACTTTAACGTTGTAGTTTCAGAAGCGCTCGATATCATTCGTTTAACGTTTGGAGATAGATTATCGAACGTCGTCGTTTCAGATATTTGTTTGGTTTCTTTAAAAGTCCTTTGTAGTTTGTGATCTTTAACAAGTACATTATCACTGGATGGGAGGTCACGTTTATTACTTTCACTAGCACCATTATTATCACTGATAGTTCGAATACTATATAAAGAACTTTTGTTCAGCGTCGCGATAGGCAATTTAACACTGCCAATTATTTTGGAAGGATCTTTCGGTGGGGATCTTGATACATTTGTATTGTTGACTTCCTCCTTTGTTTTATCGGTCATGATGTGTGTTTGGTTTGGCACAGGTGGGTCGTTTCTTGCATCTTTGGCTTTTTCCAACGGACTGGCTTCAGGTCTCAGACTTTTGTCAGGTTCCAATAGCGAATCGTATATGCCGATTAACGTCGGCGTGAGATCTGTTGTACTACCTGTAACAAACAATTTACACTGTATAATTCTTGACTAAATTTATCTACACATATAATAAAATTGGAGTGTCTGTTTGTAATATCAGAGAAAAATTCCAGATTTCGGGAAGATGTATTGCTGATAATGAAAATTTTTAATTATTAAATTTAAAAATTTTCTTGTCTGTCTGTCGAAAAGCCGCGTTTGTTCCGGATAATCTCTGAAACGGATGGGCCGATTTCGACGGGCGTTTCACTGAAGGGTAGCTGACATGGATAGGCAAATTATACGCGACTTTTTTAATTCCGCGCTGTCAAAATGGCGTAACGGGTGTTCCAAATTTGTGCTAACGAATTTTGTGGACGACAGCTCTTCGCGAAACTTTTTATCCCTATTCAAACATTTAATAATTGCAACTACAATTGCAGTTAAAAATATTATGTGCTTATCTGATCTGTAATAAAGAACATGATTTTAGAGACTAAAACAGAAGCCTTTAAAGTTACTGTAAAATGTACTCGTAAAAGGTTTGATGGTTATCTACACACGACTTCGGGTTTGTGTCATTCCTAACAAAAAGGCTTTTAGCGTTATTAAAGTAATCGTGATATAACTTGAGGGGAGTTGGACGTGTTTGATTTATCGTTTAGAATTTTTTCAAGCGTCAAAACAAACATACGGAATTATGTATATGCTAAGATTTTAATCGCCTCTTTTATTGTTGGAAGGACCAAATTTTAGGACATTAAGTACAAAGAGAAATTAATCGATAGCAAAATTACAATATATTTTTTTTAAATGTAGCAAAGTAAGTAGTTTTTTCTATTCAAGAATGCCATTTACAAGTATCTTTGTATGTTCTGATTTTATCATGTTCTGTCCTGGTAAATGTTTCTACAATGGTGTCTTAATAACAAAAAGGAGCATAAATAGTTCAGTCGTATGAGGACAAAATTACCATGATAATGAAAGAGATACATCTCACTCCCTTGGGGTGACGATATAGCTAGGAATTTAGGGACCAGTCCACTATTATTTCATGTTTAATAATTTAGATTATTATCTTTTTGTTTCTACAATAAAAATATGATTTATTTGTTATTGCTATTTTGGCTAAAAGATTGTTATTGTATATGAAATGTTTTTTAAATAACTTATTGATTGTTGTATTTCATTATCGTTGAACATAATTATCTCAGGACCTATAAGACTATGGTGACCCTATTGACAAATTTCCTATAGTCGTTTAAGATATCTATTAGTTAGTAACTTTTAGTGCATGCTTTTACAAATTCGATTAAGGTTATGAGTATTGTGAGGTT